AAATATTTTGAAGTTAAATCATGAATTTCTCTTAACTTAGAAAAAAAAAACCCAGCATCATCCCTCTATTGAAGGCAATGTTTTGAAACCCGAACCGACAAGAGAATCGGTTTGTTCATTGGTTATCAATTTGATCAGTTCAATCGATTAAACCGATCAACCGACTGGGTCAAATGCACATAGTCATAAAAATGCAATTTTCAGCTTTGGGCATTTCCAGAATCTGCATATATAATCCAAGATTCGAGGCAGGACTTCAGAAGAATCAAAATCCCACACGAAGGAGAGCACAATCGTGTTGGCCAAGTTCGAGGAGCTGAACCACATCGAAGCGAGCCTGGGAGCAACGGATCTGTCGTTGGCTCTTGAGAACGACGAGACGAGAGAGAGCGAGGGTGACGAGCTGCTTGAACTTGGCTGTCTTGAAATTCCATCTGAGTACAGCATCGAGCTTCCTCCCCATGCCTCTGCTCCTTGACTGACTGTTCTTCTGACTACAGAGCTGATCAGAGAGCACGATTGGAAGGGGGTAAGAACTAATGCTGGTGGTGTTGGAGGTGATGGAGACTGGAAAGCCGAAAGGGGCAAGAAATGATGTTGGCCGTTGGCAGTGCTAGAGGTGATGGAGACTGGAGGAAACAAGCTAATCAGAGAGCAAGGGCAGTGGAGATCTGGAGCCGGAGATGATGGAGGCCGGAGGGAGAAGTGGAACTTGAAGAAAGAGTCGATTAGGATGAATGAGGCTTAGGGTTTCTAATTTTAGGAATTTAAGTAATTAAGTTTAGATTTTGTGTATTTTATCCAAAATTGTAATGGGTTGAAGGGTAAAAAAGGTAACATCGAAAAAAAAAGGGGACAAAATAGACTAATCATTAAAAAATATGAAAAAAAGAGAGGAAAGAATGGTGTAAATGACCCCGCGGGTTTGCTGGGTCTTCCGGGTGGAACGGTTTTGCCTGTTCCACCGGGTTTGGGTGATCCAACCGCCCAAACGGGTTAGAGGTTTCAACCGACCCGTTTTACCTACCTGGTGCCGGTCGAACTGGTCGAACCAACCGGTCCAATCCGGTTCTGAAAACATTGATTGAAGGAATATCCGAACGGTAAAAAAATAGATAAGTAATTGTACAAATAAAAAAGAAAAAAGATAAGTAATGAATATAAAGATATTATATTATAAGTA